AGGAATGTGCTACATACTGCAGAATTAAATTCTAAATCACTTTTTTTTCTATTTTAATGCTCTAATGTAGTCAATATTTTTAATATGATCTTCTATTGTTATTCTTAAGAATTGACAATCAGATCAGAGTCTGGATAGGCACCTGTATTTTGGATGGTGAAGGTGAACTGACAGCATTTGGACAAAATTCCTGTCAGAAAGCCTCGTAGGTTTGTCTCTACAGGAACTGAAGAACCTTTGGTGTTCTGCTGTCAACTGTCCTTGGTAGTAACCCAGTTGTGACTTGGGGATTTGCTCATGGGACTAAGCACAAATATGCTGGGCTGCCTTCCCCGCTTCAATGTAGCCATTTCCTTTAGAAAGCGAATAGCCAATCTTATCTGCCTGCACCCTCAAAAGTAATATGATTAATCATCCAGTAGGATATCTCAGTGCAGGAATTTATTTTTTGCTCCGTTGCCCACAGTATGGTTCTTTCAAAAACACAAGGACAGAGAACTTCTCTCCACTAACAATTAAATAAAAATAATATATATCTGACAGATTGTCAAGATAGATACAACATTGTAGAGTCATGTGTCTGATTCCTAACTGTGAAAGATTGTTTATGTTGCAGATGAACATCAGCTTTCTCCTAAGATAGAAGCACATGAGGTGTCAAATAGCAATTCTACAAGTCTTCAACAAGGTAAGCCTGATCTTGTTGAGGAGAGAGATGCTAAAACCACTTTCAAGCCTGACAAACATGCTGATGAACTCATGGAAGTGACCGATGAATCTGTGTCAAAAGTTTTAGAGTGGTTTAAAAGAAGTTCTGGTACTGAAGATGGAAAACATGTATCAGCTAGATCCCAAGGCAGGGAACACACAGAGGAAGTGGACTTAGCAGGAACTGCAGTTCTTTCTACAGAGCACAGTGGGTTTAGCATGGATGGAAAAACAGAAGGTACAGAAGAGTTACCATTTGGAAAGGTTAAACAACAGAACAGAATTTCACCTACATCACTTATTTCAGAAGATGTACAGATGATGAAAGAGAGGATGAAACCTAAGAAAGCAGAAGAGAATGATGGGCAAACTGACAAATCACAAACTGAAGTTGACTGTACAAGAATTGAAGAAGAAGAACATGGTCAAGAAATCAGGAAACAGAATCAAAAACTGAATCTCTTGGAACATCAAGCACACAAGCTACCAGCTCAGAAATATGAATCGGAGAAGGCAATAAGAGAAAAAAGAAGAATAAGGGAGATCAGAGCATTCTGGGAAAGGGATAAAACTATCCCCAGTCATGGAGAGAAAGAAGATCGTAATTCATCAGGTGGCAGTGCTATGAAAGGTCTTGGAGAAAGTGACAAAATAAAATCAACTGCAGTAAACTTCCCTAGGGGATTGGATGATCAAAGCAAGAATACACTAAGAAGTGCTGAACTAAGTTGTGCAAGCCAGGCTTCAAGAAATGAACATCAAAGCTCTTCTGAGTTTGGATCAAGCTGTGCAGCTGAAAAGTCAGAAAGAACACTTCCATCTAATGGTGAAGTTCATGAATATGCAGAACTGCCAAAAGACAGTAACTTGCAGCCAAGAGATGGTGCCACTTCAGCTTCCCCAGAAAGAAAAGACAAAGATGATAAAGAAACACTTAAAGAAGCTGCTGCTTGTTCCCAAGAGAAGCCCAGCTTCCAGGTTTCGTCTTTAAAAGAAAAAATGAATGAAAAGTCCAGGAATCACATTTCATATCCTTCACAGTTCCAGAGTCTGAGAAACTTCTGGGATACTGGAGTTAAATTGCACAGTAGCATTGATAGTGAAAATGTTTCTTTCCCAAGTAATAGTAGCTCAATAACTTACAAAAGGAAATCAAAGGAAGATAAGAAAGGCAGTGATAATGTGAGCAAGCAAGACTTAATTCAACACCAAAGCCAAACATCTGAGAGACAAAAAACACAGAAATTGGACTTCATGGAGTATGAATTGCCTCTGGGATCTTCTACCCTGAAAGGTCTGAATGTGACACACAAAAAAAATACAGACTCTATCCAGTTGGACAGAAAGCCAGATCTTTCAAAACTCCAGGAAAAAATGGGTCTTCCAGAGCAAGAAGTTAAAGAATGCATAGAAAAAAGTATTTTTTCATTGGAAGAACATCATATTTCTGTGCAGTTGCTCCAATCACCTGGTGATAATGATGTTTTAAAGAAGACAACCATGGATGATTGTTTATATTTACCTATAGAAGAAGCAGAGAACAAAAGAAAACTGTTAGATGCCAGCTTCTCTAAAGAGGAAGTTGCAGAGACTGTGGATAAGGTATTTCTACCTAAGGATGACCTTGATGTATTTAAATTAGGCCTAAAGAAGTTAGAAAAGGAAGCCTCTGAGATGTCAACTAGCTTGAACCTAAAAGAAAACATTTCAAAAGGGACAAGTGTTCACTCAAATCAGTGCAAGGTCTTTGAAAGAGCAGCAGAACAGAGCCATGATATTGCTCCTGCTGATCAAAAAGAAGAAGTAGGCAAAAGCAGAGGGAAAGTGAATATCCTATCAACAGATGAGCATGAAAACAAAAAAAGCCTCAGGAGATTGTTTAGGGAATTTGAACCTTTCCACCTACGACATCAGGCAGCAGACAAGAATTATACTCTTGAGAGTTCTCAGAGGCCTCAACCTGATTTGCAGAACCTGCTCAGAGAAACCTTTGCATCTCAACCTTCTGAATATAGCAGGGTCAGAATAAAAACATCTGATGACACAAATAGTATATCACAAACTAATTGTACCTTAGAATCATCATGTCAAGATGAAACTCATTGGCCTGAAGAGATCAGTGAGACCACAGAAAAATCTGTTGCTCCACCCAAGGTCAATGGCTTGAGTTCTGCTTTAGAGAAGCTGCTGAAGGAGGCATCTGAAACACCACCTCCTAAAGCAAAGCATCCTGACAGCACAGTACAGAGGACTGGTGGGATGGATTTTAAAAGCACAATCTATGAGCATAATGGACAGAAGGTCAGTGAGACCATAGAAAAATCTGTTGCCCCATCCAAGGTCAGTGGCTTGAGTTCTGCTTTAGAGAAGCTGCTGAAGGAGGCCTCTGAAACACCACCTCCTAAACCAAGACGTGCTGACAGAACATTATGGAGGACTGCTGAAATGGAAGCTAAAAGCAAGACCTATGAGCATGATGAAAAGTTACCACAGGAAATTGATGAGACCATAGAAAAGTCTGTTGCCCTATCCAAGGTCAGTGGCTTGAGTTCTGCTTTAGAGAAGCTGCTAAAGGAGGCCTCTGAAACACCACCTCCTAAACCAAGACGTGCTGACAGCACAGTACGGAGGACTGCTGAGATAGAAGCTCAGAGCATGACTTATAAGCATGATGAAGAGTTGCCACAGGAAGTTGATGAGACCATAGAAAAGTCTGTTGCCCTATCCAAGGTCAGTGGCTTGAGTTCTGCTTTAGAGAAGCTACTGAAGGAGGCCTCTGAAACACCATCTCCTAACCTGAAGCATGCTGACAGCACAGTACAGAGGACTAGTGGGATGGATCTTAAAAGCATGACCTATGAGCGTGGTAAAGAGTTGCCACAGGAAGTCAGTGAGACCATAGATAGATCTGAAGTTTCCAAGGTTGAATATGGAATATTTGATGTTTATTTGCAGAAGCTGCTTAAAGAGGTCTCTGAAACACCAGCTTCTGTGCTGGAAGATATGGATGAGAAAATACAAGGTAAAATACAGACCAATCTAAGCATTCATACTCCACATCAACAGGATAGAGATCATCCTCAAGAAATACAAGAAACAATAGAAAAAAAATCCATTTCAGATTTTGCAAAATTCAGTGAATTTAGTTGCTCTTTAGAAAAACTTCATAAAGAAGCTTCTGAAGTTTCATGTCTAATATCCAACGAGTTAAATAAACAGGAAGAGTCTGGGGATCACGTATTTCAGTCACAAAAAGAGACTCTATTTTTGACAAGGTCACAGCCACATAATGCTGTGAGTAGCTATCGAACACAGATGAAGATAGCTATCAAAGGGGGAGCTCCACAACAGAATATCAAAGCTTCAGTAAATGATCTTGCAGTAAGTGAAATTGAAGCTTCTGATCTTCTTAAAAGAAGTGGAGCTATCAATAAAATAGAAAAGAGAAACATGGCTCCAGTTGATCTTCCTCCTTTGGAAGGAGAGACCAATATAATTGCAATGAAGCCATTCCAGATAAATACAAAAGGAGGAAGAGACAAAAGTACATCCTTGGATGCCTCTGAAAAGAATTCAGAATTTAAAGCCCTGTTGGAATACAGAAGAACAAGCACACCCCTTAAAGATGAAAGCAGCTCCCCCCAGCCAGAAGGAGCTCAGCTCTGCCTGATGTTTCAGCGAGAGGAAGAAGATGGCTCCAGTTTGGGATCTATGTTTTCAGATGAAAACTCTGATTCCCACTCTGGAACTGGAAGTACAACTCGTGAGCCATTTGATTTCTAAAATTCATGGTGCTGGGTTGTCAAATATGGCTACAATTTTTTATTTTTATTTTTGGTAGCCAGTTTGAAATATGTTAACTGGAAGTCTGTGTGATACTTATTTCTTAATTGAATGCTTTGGATATCTTTTGGGGAGGGATGGGAAGAACTAATTACGTCCTTTAACTGGGAAGTGTTTGACAACCATTAACTACATTTGGGTAAAGCTTTTTGGTAAGGGGAGTTTAATAGCACAAATCCATCATATTAGTCTTCATTATTTACTTTTTTCTTCTTCTCCTATGACATTGCCTTCAAAGGAGTAACATTGTAACATCAAAATCTGGTATTTCTTTTAAATATACTGGATTAAAGAAGAAAAAAAAAATACAAAATCAGCGACTGACTGAATCATTATTTAGTTTGACCCCCTAGTCTTCAAAGATAAATACTTATCAGTGGAATGTCTGGATATAAAGATAATACCAGTGCTCTGTGCTATTTTACTTGGCATTGCTGCCTGTTGCACTAGGAAGTGACCATGTTAATGAAGGGATCTTTACACTAGGATTCTCATTATTTGGTTGAATGGCAGCTCTAGTCAATGTATAGTGTGTGACAGTCATCAGAGAGCTTAAGGTGAAAGAGATCGTTTAACCTTTAATCTGCTGTTGAGAAACTGAGTTTTCTTCACCTGGAGAATCCAAGAAATTTGTGCCGTTTCCAGGGCCTGCCAACTTACTCTTGAGCCTGTTTTGTAAGAGATTCCAATGAAAGCCAGAGAAAACTCAAGACAAATGAGGAAAAATGAAACATAATTTCTTTTTACCCATAATTATGGACAGCACCACTGTAAGGCCTGGTTTGTTGGCTGATAGGGAGGAAGGTAAGGTAGGGAGGAGAGCAGATCTTAAAGGTTTCTGAAGGATCTATGTCTGTCTTGATTCTGCCCTTGGAGACAATTCCATAATTTCAAGGATCCACATATCTCCACAGCTGGGTTTTTGGTGGTTATTACTCAAGTATTACTCAAAGTTCCTTTTATGGGGGAGAAAATAACAGTATATTTACACAGAGGGAAAAACTAAAGCTATTAACTTTTTTTGTACTGATTCATAACAAGATGGTTACAAAGTGACTAAAGTCTGAGTTTATTGTATATCGTTCTTAGATATTGAAGTGTCACAACATCCTGAAGCACCCTTATTAGACAGAGATACCTACACAGGGCACATCAGCCAACCTGCCTCTCTCTACTGATGGCTGAGAGAAATTAGAGAGAGCAAGTGGACACTTATAATTAGACATTTTGTTTAGTTTGGATTTATTTTGTATTTTCATTGAATAGTCATTATCTTTGCTAACAGTCAAAAGAGATTCTCCTGAGAAATCTGTTTATTTTTTTTAGTGATTTGCTTAAAATGGCATGTCTCTGTGTGCAGTGTTCATGTGTTTTGTCTTGTAACAGGTTCAGAAGAAGAATTAAACCCTGTTTTCATGGCTTTGAAAAGGAGTGCAGATAGGAAAATGCCTTCCAAAAGTCTAGAGGACATTCCATCAGCCACCTCAAGTGAGCACCAAGCTTGTGCGTGTCTCCCATGACCCCCAGTTTGGCTTAAGTGTGTTCATGCTGGTCTTCCATACAGCTTTGCCAAGTAGTATTTTTGTCTTTTCTTCTCCATAAGCTGTATGGAGCTTGTCCTGTAGAACTGAATTCTTCTCTCATGTGGTTTAGTTTCCAGTTCTTTGTTAGTTTTGAAACAACACTGGTCTATGAAGCAGACATCTTCCAAAAATGCACAGTGATAAACTGTTTCTTGGATAGTTTTTCAGTAGTGAAGGAATTGGCAACTACCCAAATCTCTAATGAGCAACACGTGCCATTGTTGCCTGGCTGTTTGCTTGGGTCAGATTAGCAGGCAGTGGAAGTATGAAAAAATCATCTTAGTTTAGCAGTTTCTAGCAGTTAATACACCAAACTTGCTTTCAGAGAACACAATGACACAAGATTGTACTTCAAATTAATTCCTAACTTCCATTTGTAGCCTCCTAGGATTTTATTATTATTATAATTATTATTTTTATTATTCCTATCTCCCTTCACCCTTCCCCTGAGTGTTTTCAAGTTTATCTCATGTCTAACAAGGAAGACATAAACTGAAACCACATTTGTAAACTGAATTGTGGAGGTGTAGATTTTGAAAGATGTTGGCTGTTGTTGGCAATTTACTCTTCTAATACGACTTATGCTACTGCTTCTTGCTTCTAACTAGTCCCTAGGTTTTAGGTGTGCACTAACATTGTTGCAACAGCACACTGGTAGGAACGGTGTCAACGTGAGACTGCTGCTGGGATGTAGGCTTCAATAGTGTGTGAAGTAGAAAGCATCTCTTCAATTTAACCATTCCCATGGGCTCTGCTGGTTTGTTTGGGGGTTTTTGTCCTCATTACTTTTAATTCTACTATTACCACTGCCTTCCATTTTATCATACTGAACAGCAACATTTCTAACTATATATTACTTTTTTTTCCTGCACAGATAAAGGAAAAGTAAATAATCCAAAGGAAGAATTAGCTCTTAGTGCTGAAGATGGTAAATATCTGTTGCGTCTGCATGGAAGCCTTATTATTTTTTCAATGGCCTCTCTTTGCTAGTGAAGGGGTGTTTGTAATCAAGAATTGCATTGTGCTTTTAGATTTTACTAACTTCAGTATGACTGAAATGCTTTTGAAGAATTTTGTTGTATTGTTTATTCTTAAGGAATATACTTGTTATGTCCTGCTGTATCCGTACAGACTCTGTGCCACCTACCAATGTATTATTTTTGCCTTTATTCATTCAGTCTATGAAACAGTTGCTGAAATAATTGAGAGCTTTGAACATTAGCTCAGTTCAAAGGCATGGCCTGAGTTAAGTTTATTTACGGTAAAATTTTACAGTAAAATCCTTATTCCAGGAAGAGAATCTGAAAGGTAAATTGAAAATCACTTCATCACATTTGATCAGAATTCCCTTTCAGCACCTAGGCTTTTACATCACATCAAGCAATGTAAGCAGTTCTGCTCCTGCCAGAAAAAGTTATTTGGTCAGTGTTACAGGAGATTTCAAAGTAGATTTTTCTTACTAATTATAGTTTCTCTGAGTCCTGTGAGGATGAGAGAAGGAATAAAATCTTGCATCCAAGTTATAAACTTGCATGTGCATGTGTTTCATCAGAAGTTGTTTGTTTCTAAACATACCTTGTTATGGAATATCACTGTTTTGATGTACAGCTTGTTTTTAAAATTATTTGAATTGCTGCTCTCCAGTTTCCACAGTGCCTTCACAGCCTGACAAGCTGTTTTCCAATCCTGAAAAACTCAAAGGACTAAGCAAATCAGTACCATCATTCCTACAGGAGGAGGCAAGTTCCATCTCTGAAATATTATGACTAAAACTTTTGATTATTGTGTCATTTTACATTTGTCGAGTAGTGCTTCCCAGGGTCTGTCAAGTCAGCTTACTGTTGGACCAGGGCATGGAATTGAGCTTGTGGTGTAACAATCAGGAGATGATCCCAACCAACCAGTGGCTAATTAACCTTTCTGAAGCTTTAGTCCAGTAACTACAGGGTTATTCTTACTGTACAGCTCAACATACAGAGTATGTTTTACATAGGAGCTGGAAGCATAGTGAATGCTTGCTGTTATTCCCAAAGGCAATCTCTATCCCTAAACTAACAGGTCTTTTACTTTTATTTGTTTCCCCTTCAGAACATATATATGAGCATAAATTAATTTTCTTCAGAGCCAAAAATCTAAAATGAGTATGTAAGACCATAAGAAAGTCACTATCTGGTAACCCTTCTCAGAGAGGTATTAGCTTGGTGTTCTGCTTAGGGGTGTAGGTTCACGTACCAGGTGGTTAACTCTGTGTAGGTAAAATTTCAGAGTTGCCAGCAACACACTGGGCCTCTATGAGTCTATTGTTATCATCACCATCACTATCATCATCATGATGTGGGCCGCGGAATAAGCTATGAGGCTGTATTTAAATCTCCTAAAATATCACTGAAGTTTGAAAGTGATGAGTGATTTTGAACTGCCTGGTCTTGTGACTCCCCAAGCAGTCAGTAAAGAGAGGAATGGAGACTGTGTTTAGACCAAGCAGGACCTCCTACCATAAGTGCCTGAAAGAGGTAACTCCATTGGTCACAGGGAACAGGAAGCTCTGGAGAATAGGAAATACCTTGTAATTGTTGAACTTGGATAACACCATAGACTGTTTTTTGCAAAAGCCATTCACTGTATCCAGTGCTGTTCTACTGTGCATATTACCTTCCAGCCAGGTGCCTTCAAGACAGAGGGTACAGAATTGATACTATTTGCTGTATAACAGAAGGGACTGATAAAAAACCTGACTGATATCACTTGCATTAGTTTGTGCATGAGACAGTGAAGTAGAGAAGTTGAGTTTAATTGTCTGAATATAGTTAACTTTGTACTTTTTCATTGTTATCTGAGATTTAAAAATAAAAAAAACAAACCTGGTTGCTTTACTGCTTTTAAAAAAATTTCAGTGTAGGCTTTCCATCAGAAAAATCCCCTTTCAAATTTGTTTGTGCATGACCTAATTCAAGAAATATTAATTACTCAAGTTGCACTACAATGGAATTTAAATTCAAGTTTTTAGTGAGTCTCAACCTGCATTAAAACTATGTTTATTTTTTTGTTTGTTTTCTTAGTTGTGTTGTTTTTGGTTTTTTTTAATGTTCCTTATGACTATAAAGAAGCTACACAGACTTTCTTTCTGTGATGTTTTTGTAGAGTGATGACAGAGAGACAGATACAGCATCAGAAAGCAGTTATTCCCTTGGCAGAATCAAGAAGAGTCCCAGCTCTCTAACCACTCTTAGTGGCTCTTCTGGCATGGCCTCCTTATCCTCTGTATGTAAACCAAAGCCTTTTTTTAATGGCACTTTGCTTTTGCTAATCTCTTCAGTATTGTTTTGCTTCCCTTCTTATTCCTCCTCTCTTTCTCCCCTTGGCATCTCTGTCTCCTTCCTTTTGTTATGTGAACTTCTGCATGGAATTGCCTAAAACAAAATCGGTTTTACTTTTTTTTTGTTTGTTTTCTAGTAATCTATTGGAGCCTGTTCAGGACTCCACTGTGCAGCATATTCTATAAATACTGAACTGAGAGATGGCTTTTACCTCAGGAGCTTACATCTGCAGCTGAAACTGAGGGGAAATTTTTATAGAATAAATCTTGACAAAAGGAAAGAGAGGGGAGAAATAAATGAAAGAAAGAGGCAGCATTGGTGTGTGTAATCAAGTCAGTGAACTAGCTAACCAAAAGTCATTAGTTATTGTGGATTTCATGGGGAAAAGTAGAATTTTGGGGAAGGATACTGAGATTAGAAAAGGCTGTACATCCTTCTCTTTCTAAATATGTAGTGTTTAATGTTTAGTGTTTAATTTAGGTAAAGAATTAATCCAGATAGACTTTATCACTAACCTTTTTGTAAATATTTTCAGAACACCTGTTGCCCTAAACTTTTAGGCTCTGCTTTCTGCAAGGAAGATCAGCTGAAGAGACACATAAGTAGTGTGTCAAGGATCTAATCACAGGCCATCTCTAGATCTACAGCATCCAATAATTTTATGTCTTCTATCTTAATGCAATCAACACATTCAGATTTTTTTTTGTAGAAAACTTGGCCTAACGCCTTTGATTTACAAATGAATTTCTTTTGTTTATCTGCTTGCTGAGAAGCTTGAGTAATAGTGTTCAGTACATATTTCTATTGCATCTAAAGACACATGGTTGATTTCTTTACTGTCTGAATTCTGAACATAACTTCTACCCTAATCTTGATGTATCTGGTGAAAAGCAATGCCTGGAAAATTTTTCTCCTCTTGTGTGATGCAGGTGAGCGGAAGTCTAATGAGCATCTGTAGTGCAGACTTTGGCAATGTTGATGTGAAGGGGAACATTCAGTTTGCTATTGATTATGTAGAACAGCTGAAAGAGCTCCACATTTTTATTTGCCAGTGTAAAGACTTGGCAGTAGCAGATGTTAAGCGACAGCGTTCAGACCCGTAAGTAGAGAGAAATATCTTGATTCCATAATGGAAGTATTTCTTTTAACATGTAAATGTAAACTGTGGGGTTTTTTTGTTGTTGCTGTTTTTTTTTTTAAATCTATATAACCTGTGGGAGTAAACAACCCAATAATTAAATGAAGAGGCTATAACATGCTTTATGTGGTTTTCTACTCTGAAATGAAGTGGAATTGCCACTATAAATTGGTATATATGTTAACATGGGAAGCTTAAACTTCTAAGAATCTGACATTGTCTTGTTGAAATTCAACTTTCCTGCTTTGGTAAGTTTTCAGTATGATTAGAGCCTACAAATATGATATTTAGGCAGAGTATAATTAAATATTCTATATTTGTATGTGTTGAGGAGATATTTCAGCAGATTTCCCTTGGTAGAGAAAGGTTAATGTCCCACTTGGAGAACTATTATTATACTTCACCACTGCTATTCCATCTCTTAAGTGTAACAGCTGAACAACATAATCACTAGTTAAGTGGGTTTCTTTTACTTTATAAGCAAATACTTGTGCATTTTGGAAAGGGAAATTGGAAGGAAGGTTTCCTTGCTCTTCTAACCAGCCTGTTTAAATTTTAGGTATGTAAAGTCCTACCTGCTTCCAGAGAAATACAAGTTGGGCAAACGGAAGACCTCGGTGAAAAAGAAAACTTTTAATCCAGTCTATAATGAAATACTGAGGGTATTTATCAGACTATTGCCATGAAATACTGCATGCATGAAGTATGAGGAGCCTTAACTTCTAGTAACAGATCCCGATGATCTCAAAAGAGACATCTGTGTTAGATTGCTCTGTAGAAAGTACCTATGTCCTTCCACTGACAGATTAAGTCTACAATGTACTCTGGATACAGCACTGAGAGCACTGGTTGTTCTGTACTTCTTTCAAACAAACACAAGCTAAGTACAAGTTTAAGATGCTTGAAAAAAATAAAGCATGATGAGAGTTTTCTTCTGAAACGAAGAAGTGAACATTTAGAGATGTATGAACCCAGGCATGTTCTCTAAACTTGTCATTTCCAGGCATTGATGAAAATCTAGCTTGTTTTACCCTTTTTCTCATTTCTTTCTCCTGGCAGTATAAAATTGAGAAGGGTCTCTTGAAGAACCAAAGCCTTAATATCTCTGTCTGGCACAATGATACCTTTGGGAGGAACAGCTTCCTTGGTGAAGTGGAGCTGGATTTAGGAACCTGGGACTGGAATGATAAATCCAACAAGCAGATAAACTGGTATCCACTCAAACCGAGGGTAGGTTACTAAGGCTGGATTAACTGTTTTATATTTTCCATTGTGTAAGTACAAATCCAAGTCATTATTTATTTAGGCCTGATCTGGTATGTTCTGTTTTTTGTGTTGGTTATAATCATAACCACCTCTTTACTAGTAACTGGAACTGTTCTGAGATTTCTATTAATCTAGTATGTAGCTAGATATTATAGTAGGAAAACCTTTCTTATAGTCTAAGGAGTAGGAGTTTCAAGATTTTTTTCACTTCTATCATGTTTCTGCAACAGACAGCTTAAGACACTTGTTCCTTGAATATGAAGTAAACCTCCTGAGAATGAGAAGAAAGTGCAGCAACATTTTAATATCAGATGTAATGATGACTTCCATGTCTGTATGCCTCTTGTTTCTTATTGGGTTTCAGTAAAAATCTAAATTTTTAGCTAAGCTGCTTCTGGTTTCTCATTTGTTTGGTTTTGTTTTTTTGTTTTTTTTTTTTGTTATTGTTGGTTGGTTTTTGTTTGTGTGGTTTTGGTTTTCTTGTTGTTGTTTTGTTTGTTTCTTTGTGGTTTTATTTTCTTTTTTATTTTTCCCTGGAATTTACTTAATTAGTTTATTCCCAAACTAGCTCAATCCAAAGTTCTATAATTAGTAGAACAAACCAGGAATGTCGTGGTAGTCTTTAGCACTAGTTTAATTTCACTAATCTTACAACATCTCTGGGTAGATAAATGTAACCACATGAAAACAGGTGCCATGTTCTGGTCCATGATTCTGTATGAAGAAATGACATATTCATGTGCCTTTTTGGAAGATAACTCCTGTTGAGGCTGATTTTTAGATCACGATCTTCCTCCAGAAGTGAGTTTATTAAGGTACACTTCCTGTTGCATAGAGTAAGTTTCCCAGTTGAAAAAGCATATGTTATAGTTTTAAATAAATAAACAGCTATGGAAAATATGCTCCCTCAAAGCCTTTTGGCCTCTCCAGGGTCTTGTTTTCCACTTTAGTGGAAGAGTTATATATCTGAGGAACTGTCAAGTGGTTAAACTTGCCCTAAAATCTCTTCAGTGAAGGAAGACTAATGAATAAGGAAACAAGACAGGCTGAGAGAGTTGGGGCTGTTCAGCCTAGAGAAGAGAAGGCTCCGGGGAGACCTTTTAGCACCTTCCAGTACTTGAAAGGGGCCTACAGGAAAGCTGGGGAGGGGCTTTTCATCAGAGAAGATAGTGATAGGACAAGGGGTCAAGTTTTTAAACAGAGAGGGGAGATTTAGGCTAGATATTAGGAAGAAATTCTTCACTATAAAGGTGGTGAGGAACTGGAATGGGTTGCCCAGGGAGGTTGTTGATGCCCCATCCCTGGAGGTTTTTAAGGCCAGGTTGGATGGGGTTTTGTGCAACCTGGTCTAGTGGCAGGGTTCCCTGCTCATGGCAGGGGGGTTGGAACTTGATCTTTGAGGTCCCTTCCAACCTTAATGATTCTATGATTCTATGGTTAAGAATAAAAACTTGCCTTATGTAAAAGTCAAGCTTGTTGCAGTGAAAAAATTTGCCTGGTAAACTCCGTGCATGAACTGCAAGCTTTGAGATTTGTGGGTTTTTTTCCTTGCATTTCAGACTTCAACAATGGCTCTTGAACTAGAAAACAGAGGGGAGATGAAACTAGCCCTGCAGTATGTCCCACACCCTGTTGGAGGTATGCACTTCTGCTTTGTTTGGTCTCCTCAGGCCTTTGGGTTTTTGTTTTTTTTCTCTTATTTAAAAACAAAAACCAAAACCTGTCTAGTGTTTTCCAGCCAATGCAGACATCTTCTTTAACATAAAAGTAGGCTAATTTTTTTTCTAAAGTATTAAGTCACCCTGGTCATTAATTCTGTTTAGGATCCAAAGATCACTTTAAGTTATTTTGTTTTCATGTCACTACAGCAGAAATTACTCAGTTGTAATCTTAGATTTGTAATGCAATCTGTATGTGTGAGAGAGTTCTGTTTTCTCACTAATAATTTTAGAGATTATAAATAATGAGGCAGGTGCTGTGATTTGATAAATAAACAATGACAACACACTAAATCTGAACAATATTAGAAGTAGAAAATAACAGTAAGTATTTAGAATGCTGTAACTTATACCACTGTGATCTGTTTGGTTTAATCTTGTCTGGCAACTGATAACTGGCTGATCTGACAGTGGAGCCAGGTCAAGTCTTCAATCCAGCCAGTCAATAAGAATCAAATATAGATCACAAACGTGCTTAATTGAAAGTACAAGAGGCAACAAATGCTAACATCACATAGCATGAAGACAATCTGATTTCTTTATCTAGGAGGCTTGTAAAGAGAAGACCAGTAGCATGCATTTGTTTACTTGTAACAGGAAAAAAGTAGGAATAGAGAGATTATGTGATCTTGCAGTACTTTGATGGGATGAAGACTGCAGCTTCAAGAATACAGAGAGGAATGATGAATTAAGATGTGAGATAATGAGAGTCTAGGCTGAATATCACCTCTACAAATGGGCAGGAAATGCTGCACCATAGAAATCACCTTTAAAAGGGATTACAAAGGGATACAAGGCTTAATCAGATTTTTTGTTTTAATTTTACAGGAAAGAAGACTCAATCTACTGGCGAGGTCCACATCTGGGTGAAGGAATGCCATGACCTTCCTGTCCTGAGAGGCAACAGACTCAATGCTTTTATTAAGTGGTAAGAAGTGTGGTTGAAGTCATCAAACTTGGTGGCCTAATAATGGTACTGTTGTGCTTTCTAATGTTATCTTCATTTTTCTACATTCAAGTGAAAAAAAACTTAAATCCTTTCTGATTCTCCTTTACTGTAATGCAAATTACAACTTCAAGATGCTCAGTATTTACCACCAAGAAAAACACAGGGGGAGCACTTCCTGCATAGTTGCTACTCTTTCATTTTGTCTGGTCAGTTACAAAATTGTGCCTGCTTTTATTTACATGTAAACAAAGTGTTCAAGACTGTGGTTTAGCTTAGCAAATAGCAGGAGGAGACAGAAGTGAGAAGCACAGTTGTACTTCTTCCTCCTCCCTTTCTATATATGGACTAGAAATGTTAAAGGACAAGAATAACAAGATGGTTGGGAAATCTCTGGCACCAGCAAAAAGGTTTCAGCATCATTTAGTGGTGATACAGCAAACAAACTCACTGGTGCCTCTTCTCCACCTGACTTGCCTTTCCATCCTCTGAAGCACAAGGGGTGGGTACATGTTGCCAGTATTTTGTGGAAGGAACTGGAGATATGACCTTTGACTTCATCTCCATGATGCTAAAGCATCTTACCTTTGTCACAATCTAACATGCCAAGGCCAGTGTTAATCATTAGTTATTGTCCCTGCAGTATGTTGGATGCAGGCTGTGCTGTGTGAGTGCAAACTGACCATGCTTTTTATTTCTGAAGTACCATTCTTCCAGATACTAGCAGAAAAAGTCGCCAGAAAACAAGAACAGTGGCAAAAACTACAAATCCAGTATTCAATCACACCATGGTTTATGATGGCTTTAGACCAGAAGATTTGAAAGAAGCTTGCATAGAACTCACAGTCTGGGATCACAACAAACTAGCCAACCACTTCCTGGGAGGTCTCAGGATAGGCCTTGGAACAGGTACTGGACAATTAACACATTAAGCCTCAATTTACAAAAGACAGTCTTTTCTTTCTTTCCTCTTCATTCTATTTCTTCTCTTTTACAAAGATCACTGAACAGCCTTTCAGTTACTTACTTACTGAAGAGTTTCATTCACTAACTTACCTATTCTTCAGCACAGATCCTAAAATATAAATAGTAGTGTTATGAGGGTTAGGATGATTGACAGTAAGGAGAAATATTAGAAATAAACCTTTGCTTGTGCACACATTGTATCTGCTAGTGTTTTAAGTTCAAAATTAAGCTGTTCCTGCACCCAAAATCTTGATAATGTCTCACCTAGTTTTTGCATGACTAAGTATGTATATGGTGTAAAGACAGAATTTGGTGGAGATAAAGGCATAGATCAGGAATGCATAAGATTTTACGGTCTTGGGAAAACTTTACAGATACAAATTAGTTTGTAGCATAAAAGCAATGTAAGATGTATAGATAAAAGAACTGTATCTTTTCCCTATCATTACATTTGTCCCTTTCCTTGTCCTCTCTGGTCTGAGTGGAGGATTTGTCTGGATTCTTTTCAAGCGAGTACAAGAAAAAGTGACTTTTCCTAAATTAACTTCTCACCTGGTTCACCAGAATAACCTAAAATACAAGCTAGGATAGTAAATCTCAATTTCCATTTTGGAGTACCTAAGGTTGTATTGCAGTACAAAATCAGAGTCCTGTCTTATTCTTAAACTCTCTGATCTTAATTTTCCATATGTCTTTCTCCTTGAGACTGTGACAAAAAGATTAAGAGAAAAAAAAGCCTAGAGAAAGATGACAAAGTTTCCATGTGAAACTGTCATTAATTATATTTCACAGAATTGTTAAAGTGTAAAAACATAGAACTGGATTCAAAGTGCTAGGTCAGCTACCTGAGGAGATGAAACTGTTTTAGCAGACAGGCAAATTTGATTGTCTGCTCTCAACTTTGCAGCATATTAAGTGATGATTCTCCTAAAACTCATGTTTTTTTCTAGGCAGAAGTTATGGAACTACAGTAGACTGGATGGATTCTACTTCAGATGAAACTGCCCTTTGGGAGAAAATGATGAACTCACCAAACACATGGATAGAAGATACACTACCTCTCAGGATGCTATTGGTTGCAAAATTAACAAAATAAGGTGGCTTTTTAATTGCTAGTGTCAAAAAGAAACCTTGGGAATTCAATTAAAGCTGTGGGGGTGAAACTTGGAAGAGGAACACAGTAGCTCTTCTGACAGTCTCCATTGCTGTTCTGGTTTTGTGCTGTCAAATGTCACTTCATATTTCAAATTAAACTTCCTGCCTACAAATTATTATGTACATTTAAGGGATTGTTTTATTTCTTATTCACTGATAATGACTTCAAGAAAGAAGGCACTTACAGAATTCAGTTGTTGAGGTAGCTGTGATAGCTGAAAGCTTGTGTTGCCTGGCTGAATTGTTGCTGATCCCTTAAATAGCCTGAATTACCAGCAAAAAAATAAGAGCACATGAACTCTTTCTGTCCAGTTCTATGAATGTTCATGAAGTATTATTAATAAGATAGTAACAGGTTGCATTTTGTACATGCTCATTAGTACACGTCTGTATCCTCATTATGCGATGTCAGATCTTTTCAGTGAGGAACATGAGGATGAAGGTATCTTTTTTAAAGTTGTGGTATTTGTAGTTGTACTTTTCTAGGCTATGAAAGCTGCATCTGTGAAGAAAGAAGTGTCACATGAAGCAGTACTGTAGATGTCCTATTCTGCAAGGTGCAGAGGACTGTTAGTTCCAATATACAATAAAAAGTCAGTTATAAAAAGTTACTTGTTAATCATTGTGCTAGTTTTCAATCCTTACTCATAAATGCTGAAGGCATAGAGCTGAAACTTTTTTAGTCAATGCTACTCTAAAGGATCTAAACCTGCCACTTTTACTTATGACAAGTTATGTTGGGTATTTATCCTGGAAAGTGTATTTGTCTGTACCTGTATCTATTAGCTAGGTTTTTTGCAAAAATACTTTATCTGTGCTTCAGCGCCACCCTTAGGAGAACGCTGGGATCATGGCGGCCTTGCCTTAGATTATTTTACAGAACAGGAGATCGAAGTGGGATGTTTAACTTGTAGAAATGCATGCTAGTAAAGAAAGATAAAGCATAGAATAATTAAAAAAAATAAAATACATTTAAAATAAAAGCAGCCAAAGCTAAATAGGAATTCCATGTTTATTAAAACCCAGTGTTTCACATTAGCAATTCAGCACACAGTATGAAAAAATGTGGGCAGAAACCATTGCTTAAAATAGGTGCATGTTTATTTTCTCCAACAGTGTAGGCCTAAAAGCTGGTGAAATTTTGCACCTCCTTTAAAACGGAGAGGAAATGGGGGCTTTTCTCTGCTCCAACTCAGTTGCTTAATTTAATAGTAGAAATATAAATTATACTTCACAGAATCGTTCTGGTTGGAAAAGGCCTTTAAGATAATTGAGTGCAATCATTAACCTAATTCTACCAAGTCCAGTGCTAAACCATGTCCCTCAGCACCACATCTACATGTCTTCTAACTACCTCCTGAGATGGTGGTTTGACCCTCCCTGGGTAGCCTGTTCCAGTATTTAATTACCCCTTAAGTGAAGAAGTTGCTTCTAATATCTAATCGGAACCTGCCCTCGCACAACTTGAGGCCATTTCCTCTTGTCTTGTTACCTAGGAGAAGAGACCAAACCCCACCTCCCTACAACCTCCTTTCAGGTATTTGTAGAGGGTGATAAGGTCTCCCCTCAGCCTCCTATTCTCTAGACTGAACAACCCTCAGCTTTTCCTCATAAGACTCATTCTCTAGACCCTTCACCAGGTCCATTGCCCTTCTCTGGACTCACTCCAGCACTTCAATGTTTTTCTTGTAGTGAGGGGCCCAAAACTGAACACAGTACTTGAGGAGCAGCCTCACCAAAAAATACTTGGTATTTATTGCAAAATATGAATGGAAAAAATGAAAGGTGCTGTTCAACCTGCTCAACCACTTTCTCTCTTAGCAGCCAGGCAGCCTGTGGAGTTTCCAAATGCCAAAAGCTGTTGTCAGTCTTGGTGTCTTACTGCTTCAGGTGTTCAGGATGAGATGGATTAGCTGCTACAGATTCCATTTTGCCAGATGCACGATAGGGAAGTATGTGGGTACAGCACTTCAGAACAATGTACTTAAATAGCACCTAGTTTGTTTGCATTCTATGCCTATATTGATTCATTTGCACCTGAAATGGTAGGAAGCTGTGAGCATGTTTCCTGTGAAGCTGAAATGCATTGCTATGTCAAAAGAGCTTTGGGACTTCAGCCGGGATGGGGCCTTGAGGCTCCAGATTTTTAGGAACATGTCACATAATCTGCTCTGTTCTATACCCTATACAACTTTGAGAGTTAAGTTTAACTGTCATCAAAATAAAATGTTGGGTTTTCAGCAGTGTCAATCTCCTTGTGTTTTGGTCAAGCAGAACATCTGTCTCACTGTTCTTCAACCATCCTAGAGCTAGGCACAGCATTTTGTCATTATCTCAAAACTTAACACTACACTAAATAGACAAAAACTCAGTTTAAATTAAAAAAGGTAACTAAACATGAACATAAGAATTACTTGTGCACTGCACTTGTGATTAATTAGCATGAGGAACTAATGACACAGCAGTATTATGTACTCATCTAGATTAATCAAGAAACTGAGTCAAGTAACAAAAAATGGGCCCTTTAGTACAAAAATTCAGTGCCGCTCTCCAGTTTTTAATCTCTGCTCAGCATGTGCAGAAAATGGTGACTGTTACAGGTCACTAAAGTGAGTCTTCCTCCTGCTTCCAGATTTCCAGGAGGTGGGCAGAGGCAGTCACAGCAGTGTCTTTGAAAAGCACAGTACCACTTAACAGTGCTAGATATTTTAAAGATGTTATGATCTGCTATGGAGTCTGCATAAAGATCGTTTAGATCTTCAGCAGAGCTTTAGTACCTGTGCTTTCTACTTTTGTACTGTTGTTTCACACAAGACAAGTAAAAGCCATCCTAGTGAGATGAACTTCAGTAAAAGGGAAGATTAAAAACAAAGCTGGTAATTCCCCTGTCCATTCAGTAAAATTTAATTATGGAGTAGAAACATTGCAATTTCACCTCCTACTAAAGGATATTATGTTGATATATTAAAGGTAGTTGAAGATAATGGATACATCTGATGATGTAAGCCAGCAG